TTAGATAATTTTCTTGGCATTCCTACTCCAAATGTTTAAATATGAACAGCGGGATGTAAAAACCAAAATTCAGTTATGAAAAGGAAATTTGCTACTCTGCCGGGGCAGTTGTGAGATATTTTATTTACTTTGAAAATAACTTTATATTTCATTGATTATTTGATAACTTTGTTCATTTATCATTAAGAATCACTCATGTGTTACATTTTCATATACCACCTACTCAAAGTGGTAGAAGATGAAAGATTATCATCCTTCCTACCAGTTGGCTCCTATAATTCATACAGAAAGTGTATTATACCTACATATTCAAGACTGATGAAAGTCATTCAAATTTGTATAATGTACTTACATTATCAGAGAGTGAAATATTTTTTACAGGATCAGTTCAAAGACTTCATTTGATAGGGCTTATGGATGCACATTTTGGTAAGAATTTTATAAGAATGCATATAGAGATACATGGATAAACAGACTTTTTTTGTCTGATGATATATTTCAGTCAATCCAAATCTGTCTGATCTTGTATTTACATGTTATAACAGTGACAGTCCTACTGCTTACTCAATGCTAGGAACACATGTTTTAACATGTGGATGATTTAGGTAGACTCCAGTTGATGCAGTACTCAGTCTACTTAGGTTGGAGTTCATTATAAGAGACCATTTCTTAGGGACTGTATTAGCAATAATTCTTAGATACTCTATAGTAATTTTAGAGTATCATTCTTAAGTATTTAAGGTCTTACTTCTGTTTAAAAAAATTTTTTTTAACATTTATATATTTTTAAGAGACAGACAGACAGAGCATGAGCCAGGGAAGGGCAGAGAGAAAGAGAGAGGAACACAGAATCTGAAGCAGGCTCCAGGATCTGAGCTGTCAGCACAGAGCCTGACACAGGGCTGAGCCAAAGTTGGATGCTTAAGCGACTGAGCCAAGCACCCAAGATCTTATTTCTTAAAACACATAGTTCCCATTTTGTTTTTGAACAGCGTTATTAACAGGATGGTAAAACATACATGGAACTTTGGTTAAAAGTTTATGCATTATTGAGACTCTTCTCTGTTTTTTCTCATCACCTATAAGCTCAGTTTAATAGACCACAGTTGTTTGGTAATAATCTGAAGTGCCGTTTAATCAAATCGAGTCTTAGGAAGCAGGAGAAGAGCTTGGTACCTAAATGTGGCTTTGACATTGATGATAATAGTTCCTTGTGTACTAATCTCTTGTTTTAGCTATTATTTCATTTGTAAACCTAGAGAATAAAATCAGCATGAGAAAACGTGTTCCATAAAACTAAACTCTCTAAATTACATTTTAAAGTCATGTGGTCCATTGTAATGAATAGTTTCCTAGATGCTTTTTAATTCCTAAAGATATGCTCACACATGGATTATTTACTTTTCAGTAGTTTCTATCAGCTTCATGTGAAAAAACGACTTAGTATTCATAAACAAATTTGAGTGCATGATTTATAAATTTTAGCTTGTTATGAAGACAGCCATTTTTAATCTGAGGTTTGTAGCTTTATTTATAGAAGTAGTTATTTCTGAGTCCACTCTAATGTACCAAAATTATTTTTATTTTAAATTACTCATTGTTTCTGTTCTCTCCCATTTTTGCCCTGTAGCATTGGTTGACATTTCATAGAGACTAAGCTGGCATAGGGCTGGAAAATATGTAATTATAAGAATCACCTGCTCTTGAATTTCCCATTATATAATAGTCATGACTCAGGCAGACTTTTCATAGGTGTTTGATTTGGAATGAGAAGTTTTCTTCCTCCATGACCTGTGATTAAAATGTGGCATTTTTGATAAATAAATAGAAGATAATTTCTGCATAATCCAGCCATGAATCAGAGCTGGTGAAGCAATGTAAATCTTTGACCTGTATCATATAAGCAGTACCATATGTAATTGGAAATATATTTTAAGATCAAGTAAAATAGACCCCTTTTTTTTAATGCTCTGTAGCTTAAAGCAAGCTAAGTGCTAAAATGCAGTAAGATGCATGTTGAGAGTTTGACTTTACTTAATGCTTCTCAAAGGAATTCCAATAAGAGGAAATCCACTAAAGCTACATTTGAATATTTTATTTTGTTTTAATGAGTTATAACCATAAAGGTAAATATTTATCAGTTGTTGTAGCATGCTGGTAAGGACCGGGAATAGACTATTTCATTTCGTAGTTGAAAATGAAATTTACTGATACAACAGTAAACCAGTGTTTGCTTTATAGTCTTATCTATTGCATTAAACTTTATACATCTTTATGGTTAAAGTTGTAATTTTTAATTAATTGACTGTAGAATCATGCACCCAGTTCCTGATAATAGGTTTGTGTTCTTTTCTTGATACTGCAGTAACTGACACATTTTCCCAGTGTAGTTTAGTTTGTATTTATCTATTTTTAAAGATATTATGTATGTCTATGTACATTGTTTTTCTGCACTATGAATAGAAATTTATTATTCCAAAGTCATGGATGCAAGATGGCACTTGCTACAGCACTTTACTTGTCTTTTGGCAGATCAATACACTTTAGCTTCTGTCTTAGTCAATTCTGACTGCTATAAAAAAAATACCATAGACTGAGTAGTTTAAATAGTACAAGTTTATTTCTCACAGTTGCTGGAGTCTGGGAAATCCAAAATCATAATGCCCAAAGTGACATTTCATTCCTAGTGAGAGCTTTCCTTCTGGTTTGCAGATAGACATCTGCATACACAGCAGAAACAGAGAGAGAAAATAAATTCTCTCATGTCTCTTTTCATAAAACCAGTAATCCCATCATGAGGGCTCCACTCTTGTGACCTAATTACTTTCTGAAGGCCTCATCTCCAAACACCATCACATTGGAGATTGGGGTTTTAACATATGAATGGGGCAGGGAGGCCACAATCATTCAGTTCATACCAGCTTCCCACAAGGACTTTATAATTTTGGATATTTATCCTATGAATTGAATTGACTTTAGAATGATTGAACTAGAGTCAAATGTCATCTCTTATTGTAAATTTTGACGAGTCCTAGTTAATGAAGCTAAAGCCTTAAAAATGTTTCATATGAATTTGTCAATTCTAAAAATATTTTAGATTTGAAAACATCTGGAGGAATCTATTCTTCAAAGTAGGTGATTTTCAGTTGCATGTGTAGTAGGGAGACAGAGGTATTAATTTTGTATTCTATTAATATCTTTATATGTATTTCATTGTTTATGTTCAGTGAACATAATATTCGGTGCTCACGTTTTTGTTTCCTCTCCCCACATTATCTGTTTAATGCCCTCTAATTTGGTTTCATTCATCACCACTTTTCTATATGCTCCACTGTGACCTCTCTTTGAAGTCTCCTCTTAAAACTTTGATATAGTAGACCTCTAGCACTCTCTGGAAATACAGGCTTGACAAATGGCAGACAGTACATTTTCGTTAACATGTGGATGGAGAAAAGAAATCTTCTCCCTATGATGTGCTAGCCATATTCCACTCACTAGACTATTTCCTTCTTTGATTCTCCTCCTCTTTTCCTATATGCAGCATCCCCTTGTTTCAGTCCTCAATTATTTAATTTTCTCTCTCCACACTCTTTCATTTAGAGATACCTCAACTATTGCCTCTACGTGAATAACTCCTTTCCTTTTCTCCAGGACAGCTTTCTCATGAGCTTCAATTGTGTATCTTCACTTGTCTTCTGAACATTTCTATTGGATATCCTGCCGTCTTTTCAAACATAACTGGTTCAAAACCAAACACATGATGTTCCTCTTCAATGGTATCTTTCTACTGTGGTTTTTTTTTTTTTTTTTTTTTTTTTTTTGCGAGAGAGAGAGAAAGAAGCAGGGAGAGGGGGATGAAAAGAGGATCCAAAGTGGGCTTTGCATTGACAGCAGAGAACCTGATGTGGAGCTCAAAACCATGAACTGTGAGATCATGACTAGAGCTGAGATCAAGAGTTGAATGCTTAAGCGACTGAGCTACCTAGGTGCCCCACAGTATTGCCTTTTCATTAGCCATTTTTTATTTTTATCTTCTTCCAGCCACTAAACATACTAAATATTTGTTGCATCTATTAGAAAATATTGGAGTTGTTCTTCCTTTCCTTTACCAATGTTAGTAAACTCCTTATTAGCGTCCTTAAAACAAAGCAAGTCGGCCATCCTATAAAGTACTGCTGAAGTTTATTTCTTAAACTACTTCTTTCTTTATGAATCTCCTTTAGTCTAAAACCTTCAAGAGCTATCCACTACCTGTGGAAGTAGTTTCCAAATGCTTATTTAAAAATATTTATATCAGACAATTTTAGTTAATTTTTTTTTAACCTGCGACCCAAACAAAGAAAAGTAAATCTAGAGATGTTTTGAATGAAAATAATTCAGCCTCCTTCTACTTGGACTTCACCTATACAGTGTTCCCTAGGCACTTCTCTGGAATTCTGGGACACTTTGTAATACAGTCTGAAACCTATTGACTCTAGTACAAAATTCTCATTTAGGATTAGGCCCTATTCCATTCAACCAGTCTGTTTATTATATCTAATTGTTTCATGTGAATTCCGTCTTTGTATCTTGGCTTCCATCATGTTTAGTGCCCAGAATGCTGTTAAACTACCTTTTTGCTTCTTTAAGTCTTATTCATATTTCCAAATGCACTTCAAGCCCTACATCTTCACTGAGCATATGGATGCATTTTTAGAAAATAAAGAAGTCGGGTATTTCTTTTTCATGATGTATATTTATCTTGAGGGGGTACTATTTGCTTTTTTGGGAAAATACTTCTATATTACATTTAATTATTAGATAAGCAAATATCACTTTTTTGTGCTTATTATATTTCAAAGCCCTAAACTGAATGATTTTAAGCATTCAAAAAGAATGAGTCCAAGATTGTTTGATGCTAAAATTACATATTAAGAGCATGAATCTAAGAATAGTAATTATATGACCCAAATCAATAATTTTAAAATATTTTATTATTTTCTGTACTTGTTTTCTTTTAGGACCTGCAGCATACAATCCTGTTTTAAGGAAATCTTGCTCCATACCCTTATTTGTTAAGGCATCAAAGCGTTTTAAAGATTCCAAAGAGATTACTCCTGGTCCAGCTACATATGAGGTTTGTCAATGATAATTTCTTTTATCAGTAACAAAAGACTAGAATAATTTCCAGAAAGTACTGAAAATGTCTACATTAAAGTCCTTTACATATGTTTTATTCATATTACTAGCTATTAAAATCGAAGGAGGCATTTTTTAAAATACAGTCTGACAGTTTTTAAAGACTGAATTAAGAATTATTTGTCAATTTATCTATAAATGTCCACTAAGCACTGTTATATATATAATTTTTTACATCCCTGAAACTTAAAGACTTAGTTGTTTACATACACAAATGGAAATTTCCAAATATTTATTGCAATCATGGATTTATTAGAAGGCTCAGAAGATAGCCCTGTTGCTCCAGTAAAATCAGGTTTGGATCTTTTATCTTTTTTTAATAAGTATAGATGCTGTAGTCTAGATTCATAATAAATAAAGGACTCTTAAGCTGTGGGCCTTCTGATTACAAGAAGAATGCTTAAGTAAACCTTCAAGTTTTAAAAATTGTGTTCACGATTGGCCTTAATTCCCAATCTAGGATGAATAGGTCCCCCATTTGTACTCTACTCACTATTAAAAGTGAAATATTTTATAGTGGCTTATAGCAAGTAATTTAAGAGTTAATACTCGGGCCAAACCATAGTGAATGTTGTTTTTTGGGTTAGTTAATGACAAGTTCACTTTTATTGAATGTATGCTTTCTACTTATTTAAAATGTCATGATCTAAATAATTTTTAGGCATTCTGTCAAAGCAGATTCATAATGCAACATCAGGGAAAAAAAGAAAAAGAAAAGAAAGTGAATAATGAAAGAGTTGTTATTTTATTTGTTGGCTGTTGATTCCCCCAGAAGACCACTGCTAATTCCTACTGATTAAGCAATGCTAATTCTATTTACTTTGGAAAGGGAGAATCTGCTAAGCAGTCTTAATAGTGTTTCAGGAGATGCAAATCAAAGGACTTCTGATGTTTTAGGACCTGAGCTCTGTGACGTAAGACAAGTCTTACAAACGGGAAACTGGCTGGGATTGGGCAAAGTTTATGACTTGTTTACTTTGGGTTATTAGGCACAGTGAGGAAGGGTCTTAAAGTAAGTGTTGATCAGTAAGCTATCAGTCTTGATAAGTTAGATGGTATAGCTGTTCATAGTTTGATATATTATCATATTAAATCTTTAGCTGAATCCTTTTCCCCTACTTTTTAAAACTGATTTTAGTGGTATTTACAAATAATAATGTCAGTAAATGTAATGATACCCTTTTATTTTGTGATGCATTTATCATAGAAAATGTATCTACTAATCTTTCTAGTATTTAAAAATCTTCCTTTTTCTTTCATTAAGATTTTATAAATTATATTTATACTTCTTCATAGTATTTTCTATGCCAAATGAAAACATTTATGGGTTTGATAATGATGTTTTTTCAGGTATTGTTTGAATATATATATATGTGTATATATATATATATATATATATATATATATATATATATATATATATATATATATATATATATATATACACACACACACACACACACACACATACTGCACTTCAGGGTAATTTTTCTGTTGAGAACTGAGTGTATAATATTATTTTGTCTTCCTATTGTTTTCTTTAATAGTTGAAAAGTTTTTTGAAAAAGTAATTTTCTTTCAAAGTTTTCCTTCTTTAAAGGAAAAGTTATTTTTAATCTGATAGACCAGTAAATTATAGGTCCATTTATTATTATTTGCTCTTAGTTTTTAATTTGGTACTTCTTTCTTTCTCTATTGACTTTAATAAGTTTCAGTTGGTAACTCTTGAGAACATGTTTGCCTAAATATTTTACTTTTATTTTTTACAGAAAAAGATTATTTTAGAAATTTATAACATTGTTTTAAGATTGCAATATTATGTTACATTTAAAAAACACTTAAATGTGTATGATTTGTGCCATCATTAGTTATAGGTTTTCAGTGTCACATGTTCATGGATCTAACCTATCCAATATAGGTGGTACTAACAATAATATCTATTACAATAGCTCTCTTAAGTTACACAGCCATATTTGCAAAGTCTGCTCACTATTTTTATTCTTGTGTAAACAGTCTCCTGAGTGTCCCAGGCACAATTAGTGTTCTCTCTCTATTTTATTTACTTATTTTCTGGATGGGGGTGTGGTCAGAATTGTCATTGGAACATTACTCACTATATTTCAATTATAAACTAATCTGTGTCATTTTTACTCCTTCTAGTTGTTGATATTTATTGGTTCACTGTCACTGATCCTTTTAAAGATATAATGAAAGCTAGGGACCCTAAAGGGGAAAATTGTGCATGTATGTTCATGTAAAAAAAACATGTATACAATTTTAAATGGTTTGTTAATCCACAAAAACTCACTTATGGCTTCAATCAAGAACTCCCAGTAGCAGATTCTGAACTCTATAAGGACGAGACTTATTTACCTTTATATTATTAGGGCTTCAACAACAGAATCTGGCATATAGGAGCATATTAATAAATGCTTATTGTATAAATCAACAAAATGGATAATTCTAAGATTTTCTTCCCATGATTAGATCACTAATCTTTATCCATGAATAAAGACATACTTATTAACTTAGTTTAGTGAGAATATGTATATGCCCTTTCACAATAGCAGGTTTTATTGACTGATTAATGTTCTCTTGTTGAGTAAGTCTTCTCAGTAAACATGAACATTTTTTTTTTTAAGTTTTTTTTTTTTCAACGTTTTTATTTATTTATGGGACAGACAGAGACAGAGCATGAACGGGGGAGGGGCAGAGAGAGAGGGAGACACAGAATCGGAAACAGGCTCCAGGCTCCGAGCCATCAGCCCAGAGCCTGACGCGGGGCTCGAACTCACGGACCATGAGATCGTGACCTGGCTGAAGTCGGACGCTTAACCAACTGCGCCACCCAGGCGCCCCAAACATGAACATTTTTAAGGTTTACATGAAGCAACACATTATTTTCTGGAATTTAAAATTGAGACTTATATGAGAATATTTTAAAATAGGATAGAAGAAACTACAATAAATTTAACTTTTTAAAAATCCTTCATTTAAATATTACAGAAAATTTTAAATATACCTCTCTTTAAAAAAGCAAATTCTACTGAAATTAATTGAAATTTAATAATACAAGTATTTTTAATATGATTTTCTGCTTTGTTCATATATAATTGACATATGTATGTATTATAAATGATTGCCACAATGAGGTGGCAATAAATGATGCCATTACCTCACGTAGTTACCATTTGTGTGTGTGTGATGATTATGGTTAAGATTTACTTTCTTAGCAGCCTTCAAGTAATCATACTGTATTGTTAACTATAGTCACCATGCAGTATATAAGCTCTCCAGAATTTTTTTCATTTTTTAATAAAAGGTTTATACCTTTTACCCAATTTCTTTCTATGTCTTCTATTCCCCTCTCCCCCCCACCAAGCCCCTGGCAACCATCATTTTACTCTATCTCAATCAGTTCAGCTGTTTATGATTCCACATGTAAGTGAGAACATACAGTATTTATCTTTCTTTGTCTGACTTATTACACTTAACATAATGCTTTCAGGGTCTATCCATGTTTTCAGAAATGGCAGGAATTCCTTCTTTTTTTTTTTAATGGTGGAATATTATTTCATTGTTATGCACGCAAACCACAACTTAATCTGTTCTTCCTTTGATAGATACTTGGGTTGTCCTATGTCCTGACTACGGTGAATGATGCCATAGAGACAGTGGAGTACAGATGTCTCTTCAAAGTAGTAATCCATTTCCTTCAGATCTATACCCAGAAGTGGAATTGCTACATATGGTAGTTCGATTTTTAGTTTTTGAGGAATGTCCATACACTTTTCCATAAGGCTGTACCAAATTATACCCCCACCAACAGTGCACAGTAGTTCCCTTTTATCCACATCTTTACCAACATTTGTTATCTCTTGTCTTTTTGATGTTAGCCATTCTAAGGGATGTGAGGTGATATCTCATTGTGGTTTTGATTTGCATTTCCCTGGTAGGGGGGATTGTTGAGCACCTTTTCTACTTGTTCACCATTTGTATACCTTTTTTGGAAAAATGTGTATTCAAGCCCTCTGCCCATTTTTTGCTCAACTTTTTTTTTTCTATTGAGTTGTATGAGTTCCTTATATATTTTTTATATTATCCACTTATTAGATAGATGGTTTGCACATATTTTCTCCCATTCCATTAATTGCCTTTTCATTTTTCTATTGTTTCTTCTCCTGTAAAGAAGCTCTTCAGTTTGATATAGTTCCACTAGTTTATTTTGGTTACATGTGGTATCGTATCTAAAAGAACCATTGCAAAGACTAGTGTCAGAGAGCATCTTCCCTATGATTTAGGAGTTTCATGGTTTTAGGTGTTAGATTTAAGTCTTCATTTTTGTGTGTGTGTGAGTAGGGTAAGATATGGCTGCAATTTCATTCTTTTGTATGTACCTATCCAGTTTTCCTAAAATATTTATTAGAAGACAATATCCTTTCCCCATTAAGTGTTGTTGGTGTCCTTATCAAGGATTAGTTGATCATATATGCAAAAGTTCATTTCTGGGCTCGCTTTTCTGTTGCCTTTGTCTATATGTCTGTTTGTATACTATAACCATACTGTTCTGATTACTATAGCTTTGTAATATCTTTTGAAATTAGGAAATGTGATGCCTCTAGCTTTGTTGTTCTTTCTCAGGATTTCTTTGGCTACTTGGGGTCTTCCATGGTTCCATGCAAATTTAAGGACTAATTTTTCTATTTTGTGAAAAATGCCTTTGGGATTTGATAAGGATTACATTGAATCAATAGATCACTTTAGGTATAATAGACATTTAAACATTATTAATTTTTCCAATTCATAAACATGGGATATCTTGCTATTTGTATCTTCTTCAAGTTTTTACATCATTGTCTTATAATTTTCCATGTACAGATCTTTAAACTCCTTGGTTACATTATTCCTAAGTATTTTTTTACTTTTTATGCTATTACAAATGGTATTTTT